AAAAAAAGGCCACAATCGTGCAGCCCGAAATGATTTATTGAAAGTGCAAAAATAGACACATTCAAGAAAGTGGTGGTATACTTTTAGTGCAATTATTATTTATATATTCGGGGCACTAATTCTAAAGGAGATTCACCATAAGGACATGTCGAAAGTTGGTTAAGATTTAGCTACCTTGACTTTATAACTGATGGAGATTAACGAGAATAACTTCATCTTTACAATGATATAATCTCCATTGTGAAAACTATCATCACAATGCTCTCGTTAGTAATGCTTTTTATTTTTTTATTTTTTGATTTATGGACTAAATTAAAATTTCTTGAACGAAATGGATATAATCGCGCTCTTACAACTTTCTAACATTTATCCACAATACAGAAATTTGTAGGTCGCATAGTTATTTTCTCCTTTGATCATAAGCTTTTTTGTGCTTTTAAAAAAGATGATCAATTAATTAGTAATCTTTATAACAATTAAGAAATGAATATTATCGAACACCTGCAAATTTGTCAACCTGATGGTATTGTTTCCGACTCCTTTGCATATCTTAGTGGGCATATATATAGATATATAGTATCGATCATTAGGACCACAATTTAATCGCACCCCACCAAACCAAACCCTAAGGGGGGAAAAAATGAAATAAAATAAAACTTATTAGGCTATTCATGTAAAAGTAATAAACACTCCAAAAACTTATCTCTAGTGGAGAGAGTCACTTTCTTTATAATGAGATAAGAAGAAGATGTTTCGATTTATAAAGCAAAAAACAGTCTCTTGTATTCTTATGTGATTTCGACTCAACCAAGTCAAAAGATGAAAGAGGGATGTGTTTATCTTTTGGGAAGCCTTTTTGGACAGTATTCTCAAACAATAAAGAACATATATAAATAAACTATAAATTGTGACCTCAAAAAGTATGAAGTTGAATGCGGATTAATTTGATATGTATGTAGTATGTGCTCACTTAAAATGTACACACACACACACACATATATGTATATATATATATATATATATATATATATATATGCGAATTCATTCCTGAAAGAAAAATGGTTTTATACATATACACCTAGAGGAATCACTAGGATAATACAAATTCACGGCTTCTTATTGATCGGAAAAAAAAAGAATTTTTTAACCATTGTCATATTTTAGAGTATACAGATTATATAATCTTACATGATTCTGGCAGTGTTTCGAATAATTTCTTGAGTTTTTGGCAACATAGCTGGTGCTTAAAAACTATGAAGGGTGTATAAGTAGGTTAGAAAGAAACAAGAAAGAATGGGGTTAGGGGAAGGGGATGTGGACGGGGCAAGGGCACAGCTAGGGTTTGGGATGTTTCCCTCTCCAAGAGATGTGACCTGTCTCATCTTTACAACCATGGGCTCTCTCTAGCTAGCAAAGCAAAAATTAGCTTGGAATGCAATGATGTTGATGAATGCTTTATGTATATGCAAAAAAAAGATTGATTGAAGTTCATCATGTGTTTTTTTTCAAGTGCTCAAGGGTTGAATTTTGACACAAACATGCTCTCTACCGGCTTTACTATGTTCACAAAAGTGTTTTACCACTAATTTTGGAAGTGGATAAATATAGTAAACATGCACATTGGTGATCACTATCTACAAGTTAATGGTGATCAATCGATTGAGATATTGATCAGGCTGATAAATATGAATCATTGGTCCCCCTTTTCTATTTATATATTCCTTTAGGTTATACTTAGGAAATGACACGGTTTTATTTGGGTTTGGAATTGAAACGATTATTGCCTTGGCAACAGGACCTGGTGGAATGGTTAGGATGAGGACTCTAAAATTTGTAATTTTAAAAAGTTCAAATATTGAACGAAATAATTTTAGAGTGATTATACATTCTGTACATGTTATAATTAGGCGTCTCTAAAAAAGTTCCTGCAAACTTAAGCAAATCTTCTCTGCCCTAGTTGTATTACCCTTTTTATAAGGTAAAATTTGCTTTGAACTAATGGTATCCTGGAATGAAACTTTTTGAAGGCAAATTTTATATTTCCCGTACAGTCATATTGTTGGGACAAAAAATCCCATATTGCTGTCATGAAAGATCTGTCACCTAGTTTTGAGATAGAAGCCCAAAGTGATTTTGACACATATTAACATCATATTAACTTCAATTATCGTTACAAATTCACAATATCATATGCAAAAAGCACCGAGACATAGTATTTTTAAAACAAATATTTGTTTTTTTGGGTGAAAAATAAATATTTTTCATAATTCTATCTTACAATTTTTACAATTTCTGTGATCCACAATGGAATTTGTTAACTGAGATTTACAGTGTACTAAACTTAACTAATTACAATACAAATGAGAAAAATAAAATCGATGCATGTCCATACAACCGTCTCATTTCTTGATGTACTGAAACGAGATGATTTTTCTTACATGCATGTTGGCGGGAGGGAAAAAGATTTTGTAGATGAAGAAGATATCATATTTAATGATTCCAATTAATTGAATATATGAAAATATGAATGAATGGATGAACCATTGAATCATTCTTTCATGTGGTTTGCATATGCATTGATTGGCCATTTGGGAGCTTCCTGGAAAAACAACATCCATTTTTTTTTAAAAAAAAAATTCTATTAATTTATTATTTTTAAAATATTAATTTATTTACATTCTCCAAACTCCCAACTTGGACCAAGAGAACAACTAAATAAATAAATTAATAATGGAAACAGTTAATTGTACTACGTACTGTGTGTATTGTCTAACTGCATCTACACAATTTGTATACAGAACTTACGTACAGTTGTTTCTGAAATCATGTTTCTTGGAACTTCTAACCGACCCGATAAAATAATTTAATTGTTGAAATTGTTTAATTATGGAGGTAATGAATAACTTTATATTATATAATGGAAACTGAATCAACTGATGAAGATCTCAAGTTGGTTTATGGTTGACTTGGTCCATCTGCATTCCCCCATGATACTCTTTTTTTTTCTTTTTTTTCCCCTTTCTACCACATTATTATGCTACTGATCTCATCAGAATTTATTGGGGGTTTTTTTTTTTTTTCATTTCATAATAGTAGTCTTGTTTATAACTCTAGCTAAGAAATATTTTTTCTTTTTAGTAAAGATGCTTTTTCTTTTGTTGCATATATTTTTACTCTATCTAATTAAGCTCTATAGCTCTCATTATGAATCTATGGAAAAGAACTTAATTTGGGCTAAAAAAATACATGTTGGTGGTTGGAAATTAGTTAATTTAATTAGAAGTAAAAACACACCAGGTGTATAATTTGTACTTTGAAGAAACTCTTTTTTAGAAGGTTGATAACCTGTCTTTTTTTTTAATAACTTTTTTTGGGTGAGACAAATTGTTTGTCCTAATTAGGAAATTTTATCTCTACACAAGCGTGGTGTACTCTTATTTTTCAGCGAAACAAAATAACGATAGAAATACAATTATAATCAAGATAGTTTCGACTGAATGATGCACTTTTTTTTTTTTTAGAAATAAAATTTATTAATTTACTGAAACCGTCCAGCAGCGATTGATAAGAAAAGATACAGCCAGAAAAACACAACTTACAATTGGCCATAATCATAGTGCTTTTGTTGTGTTTCATATGGATAAACCTATATGGATCTACCCTATCAAGCAATGGTTGTATCACGTGCAGAAATAAAGATACAACACTAAAAATCAGTTGAAACTCCCAAATCATAGATCTAACAACTAAATCTATGACGGCTGAATCTTTTAGAGCCATACGAGCGAATTCTAATGAACTGCCGCCGTACCTGCAAACATCACTGACAAAAATGTCACCATATTATCGAACATCACCAGGAAAGTCGCCGCCATATCTAACTATTAGAGGAGATTATAATCTCACTTATGGAAAATAAATTAAACAACAATAAAAAGTGTAAGGATCGGGACAGAATTATCTCCTCTATCCTTCCATGGTAAAAAGATGGGGGAAAAGATGGAGTTTTTTTTTTTTTTTGGTTTTAGGGTTTTAGAGTTGGAGAGGGAGAGAGGGGTGGCCGAGAGAAATTTTTATTGAATCTTGTTAAAACAAATGACTGAATGATGCACTCAATGAACTAACATGTACAATAACTTTCATATGAATAAGGTATGTGATCAAAACATTTAAAACAATTCACTAAACCGACTAGCTATAATCATTCCCAACTAATCACAACATAGTCATTTTATTGCTAAATTCTATGGAGAAGTTGCATTTTTTTTTTCACTTTATAAATTAATATCTACCCAAAAGCTCAGGCTCGATCTTCATCGTTTCTATTTTTTTTTTTTTTCCCTTTTCTTAGTTCTCTCCCAAAAAGAACCTTTCATCATCATTAGAGAAATCACTACGAAAAAATTAAGAGGAAGAACCTTCCCGAAATTTATGGCTTATGATTGTTGATTGTATAACACATGAACACACATGGAAAGAAGGATAAGTTTTATCCTTTTCCCTCTAAATTCATAGTTTTTAATTACTTTATCATTTAGCAAAAAAAATAAAAAATAAAAAATACTTTTCCTAGATAATAAACTAATCAATTGCAAGCTAAGTTATTGGGAAGAGAAGGTGAGCATTACTATTAATTTCCAAGTTACTTTATTATTAGGACCACAAATCACTCTCCTTGCTTCCCTTAATCATGCCATTCCCATTTGTACCCTAAATATTAAATCCCACAACCCCACATTACAATAAAAATTCATAAAATCAATTTTTTTATTAAAAAAAAAAAAAGACTTACCCCAAAGGAGGGGTAAATTAGTAATCAAACAATTTTAATTAAGCTTAGTATTGTATATAGTAACATGGCCTTTGATGCCCACAAGATCAACAAACCATGTAACTCCACGTGTCGTGACGCGATACGTGGGAACCTGATAGAGCATTTTATGCAAACCGTTGGTATATATGCACATGAACCTCTACACATTTTGCCTTCCTTATTCGCAACATTATTGCCATTTTCATTTAAGTCCTTTTGTTTTTCCATTTCTCTCTCTCTCTCTCCATTCCTTCTTTGTAATATTTAGCTTTGCAAAAAAAGATCATCATTTTCTCCTTCTTCTTGAAAAGAAAAGCGAAAGAAAAAAGGGATTACTTTGATCGGTTTATTGGGATTTGGCCGGAAAAGAAGAAATGACTTCCATGTTAGAAACTGATCTTTGTCTTGGACTGCCGGGTGGCGGCGGCGGCGGCGGCGGCGGTGGGGGAGCTGATCAAACTGAGTCCATGAAGATCAATGGAAAGAGAGGCTTTTCAGAAACTGTTGATCTTAAGCTTAACCTTCAAGCTAAGGAGTCTTCTTCCATGGATCTGAAGGAAAAGATGAAACCAGCTTCTGAAACTACCAACAAGGATTCTGCCAAGCCACCTGCCAAGTAAGTAAAAAAAAAAAATTTAATCTTTTTTCCTTTTATATAAAAAAAACGATAAGATGCAACGTAGTGATATAGTCTGCTTTCAGTAGTTCATGGGTTCGAGTTCGTGTTGAATATTAATGGAAAAACTAAAGTGAAAACACATAGTCACATAGTAACTATATATTTGTGCATGCAATATTATTTGTTGTTGTTTATTTTTTTGGTTTGGTTGATCAGGGCACAAGTGGTGGGATGGCCACCAGTGAGATCATTTAGGAAGAACATCATCATGGCTCAAAAGAACACCACTGAGGAGAATACTACTGAGAAGAAGATGGCTTCTGAGAAAGCATCAGCATCAGCAGCCAATATTGGAGCTGCATTTGTTAAGGTTTCCATGGATGGAGCACCTTACCTTCGTAAGGTTGACTTGAAGATGTACAAATCTTACCAAGAACTCTCTGATGCTTTGGCCAAAATGTTCAGCTCTTTTACTATGGGTAAATTTTATTTAATTTTCTTTTTGTTTTTGTAGTAATTAAACAAAAAAGTGGATCTTTGAATTATGATTATGGGTGGGTTTGCCTTAATGTTAGTGTAGATTAATTTAAAATCTAAGTTTTTTTTTTTGGCTTATTAAAAAAAAATACATTATGTGCTTGCAGGTAACTATGGGCCCCAGGGAATGATCGATTTCATGAATGAAAGCAAGCTAATGGATCTCTTGAACAGCTCTGAATATGTGCCCACTTATGAAGATAAGGATGGTGATTGGATGCTTGTGGGAGATGTTCCATGGGAGTAAGTCCTCTCACTCACTCTCCATTTTTATCAAATTTCATGTAGTAGTATATATGTATGCCTTTTTCATCTCTTATTATAGGAAATTAATAAGAACCCTAACACATGCAAATTATAGCTAAGCAAAATTATTTTGGTATTAAAGACCATTAAAAAAGGGCAACATTTACATTTTTTTCATATGTATATACAATTACACTTGAAAAAAAAAGATGGCCATGATGCAATACATATCACTTTTGAAGCTAAAATCTGCCTAAATTAGTTTGTGTTTTGTCCGCATCAATTTTGGTTCCATACCAAATACATAGTTTGCATGTTGTTATGAAATTTTGTCAAGTTGGCTGCATTTTCTTGACGATCCTCTGTTAATTATAACGAAAAGTTTAACATGATATTAACTTTTGGACATATGATGAAAGTTGTTAGGACTATACTCGTGAATCAAGCTAATGGTTGACAGATTAGACCAATTTCAATTTGCATGCATGTGTTTAAAATCTCAACTATTTTGTATCATCTTTTTTCGCAGGATGTTTGTAGATTCATGCAAGCGATTGCGCATAATGAAAGGATCAGAGGCTATTGGACTTGGTATGATCTCTTTTTTTTTTTTTTTTTCCTACTCTTATAAAAAATCGTTACATCAATTCTATATTTCATTACTAAAATACACGCAATTGTTAAACATTATTATGATTTTTTTTGTGTGTGTCTACGTACTATATTCGCATTAGTGTCAGATCTAGTCATAATAAAGATAATTTATACTGACAAAATAAATTCTTTTGAAATTCAGCACCAAGGGCCATGGAGAAATGCAAGAGCAGGTGCTGAAGGGGATCGAAACACAAGCACATCAGCTTGCTGTTTCAAACTGTTGTTATAGCTAAAAACTTGAAGCAGAAGAATTGATGATGAAGAAGCAGGATGTTGTTGTTTGTTTGATCAAGTGTCTTTTTTTTTGTGGGTTTTTTTTCCCCTTAATTTTCTACCTTTTTTTTTTAAAGAAAAAAATAGTATATAGATATTAAAGATCTGTGGAAATTTGTAATGGACAAGAAGCAATAAACTATACACCTCCTCTCTCGCTATCTGTCTGTGGCTTGGTTTTTTAATTATTACTAATAATAATCAACTGTTTGTGCTGTTGTTGTTTGTTTTTTTGGTGTTGTTGCTCTCTTGTCCTTGCTGTCACAGTTGTTTGAGTGTGTGTGTGTATGTGTGTGTTTATATTTTTTTTCCTTTTTGGAAAAAGAAAAGAACACTTAAACAATTTATTTTTAATTTTTAATTTTTTTTTCCTCCTTCTTAATTATGAGATTCTTGGGATCATGTATTTCTATCTTTCTTTATCATTGTAGTCATGTGTATCATCATAATTTTATTGATTTTTATTAATGTGTACGATTAACTCAAAAGGGGAACAACACCATGTGCTGCTTCATGGAGGCATTCCCTTCATAACCAGTTATATATATATATATATATATATATATATATATATATTCTATAAATTAGCATTTGTTTTTATTTTATTTTTTCCCAACTTTTTTTTTTAAAAAAATGGTTTAATAGCTGGTAAATGTTTGGGGTGGGCTTGGGAGGGGGTGTTGAATAAGCCATTAATGGAGGGCTTGAATTATATAAGGGGATGATGGTGGTTAGCAGCACATGCATGCCCCATGCTGCAAAATGTGTCTTTTGCCAATTGTGTTTACATTACCATAAATTCTTAGACCACCCCCTCTCATCTTTACACATGATTCTTGTATATATACCAAGGTCAACTAATTATGTCTCAATAATTCATCGAAATCGTTACTCATTTCGTCCTAAAAAGTTGTCAAAAAATAATTTCATAATAATATATCAAAATGTTGAGTTTAAACATTTACGACCGTAATCCAAAACGAGAAAATAATCCTTTCTCATATGATGAATAACATTTCTATAAAATACATTTTAGTTATAGACTCGCATGATAAAAAAATATCGAGGATGTTTTGGATCTAAAGAAACTAATAGAAGTATTTTATTTTATTTTTTTTGAAGAAAATAAATGTTGGGGGAAAAATTATGAGACTAGTTTATGGAATTGTGGACGTATAGTTCAAGCCATGATAGATCCATACAGATAAAATACGTATATCTTGGTCTAACAGTTGAGTGAGGCATTTAAGGATCAACTTGATATAATCTTTTTCTTCTAATACTCTTTTCGTTCTATAACAATTATAATTTTTTTTTTTTTTTTGTAAATTCAAATTTAATCCTTTTCGTTATTCGATAATATCGTTATTATCTATCCATTTGTTCCTGGACTCGAAAATTCAGAACTCTTGTACGTAAATTCAACAACTTAAATATGACGTCTTAGTTGGCGATTAAGCAATGCATGATTGTGTAAAGTTGGGGAACAATCCCGGAAGCCACATAAAAGATTCTTTGTGCAAAAGCTTCCTCCTACATAGCATATTGCAATATGAATCTTACATTTTTTTTTTTTTTTGGTATCAAATTGATTATAAAAATACTAATTTTTTGAACTTTATATTTAATTTGTACTCCCTCCGTCCTAAAAAAATAGTCCACGTCGAATTTACAAAGTTTGTAAACTCAACGTGGACTATTTTTTTAGGGACGGATATTAGCATGCAAAACCGACTTACAAGTTGTTGATTGGACATTATTAACATCGATATAGCTAGTGATAAGTGGTATTATTCATATAAAGTCAGTGGTTGAATAATACGATGATTGCAAGTTGTTGATTGGACTTATTTATTTCGGGGATCGAAGATCATGAAGCAAACCCGCCCCACGATGCCTGTTTGGTGGATCCAAGACCGACCTGGAATCCATAACCCCCCATGATTTTCTCATAATGTTGCATCATCGATCCATCTCGTAAACACAACGTATATATAAAGCTCAATTATATATATTCCCAAACCTCAAGGGAAAAAAAAAAAAGAAAAAGTCATGCACGATCCACAAGCAACGTCTAATTAATGTACATATTATTAACAACTTTATGGGTTCGTATTAATATTTTCGTCCCACTTTAATAATTTACTTTGTTGAACTAATTAAAACAGTGAAACGGAAAACTAAAAGAGTTTTGATCATCTCGTTCCACCATTTCTCCTCATGATATATAAGCTCGAAGCATTGGATTTTGTAGCTAAATATACGTGAAACTACTCCATGCATAGCCAAATTGTTTTTACTTGTTTTAATTTGGTGATCATTTTTGGAACTGCCCAAAAAGGCCAAAAGCGAATTTGAATTTAGATTTAATCCAACAAAGCTGTACTAGTATTTAATTTCTAGGACCAATGGAGCATTTTAAGTAGAATTCTAGACAAGCAGAGTATTATTTAGTTGTTGAACAACTACTAATTTGTTAGCAAGAAGTTGGCAAACTTTGTGCACTCTTCATAATATTAAGGAATGTAGACCGCTATAGCTTGCTTATATAGTTTGTTCTCGAAGATTTAAAGTAAACTTAAGAAATACATCAAACAGATAGTTTAAGTAGATGTGACGTATATTTCAGTGACCTGAAACGAAAAATATATTTTATATATAGTAATACGTCTTATCAGTAACGTTGAGATAATAATGTTAGTCTTAAGAAAGAGTTTATATTGATTTTAAAACTACGTTTCAAGGTAAAACAAAATTTTCAAACGCAGCCAGCAAAATTTCTCATCACCTGCAAGTGCAACAGTTCATTTGCATTCTTCTACAGTAGCTGATGTCTACACTCCAATTTCAGCCTGGATCCTTCGGGAAACATACAATGGGCCCATGGTCAGTCGTTAATCCATTCTGCAGTAAATGGGCCTTTCCAGCCTGCAAACAATGACTTCCGTATCCCTCTCGACATGTCTGCACAAGACATGGGCATTTGCAGCATTTTCAGATGACCAGCCCATTTAATAATGTACTGTTTACGTACATTATTTATATATATATATATATATATATATATATATGTAATGTATGAAAACTGATAAGGTTTGTGAAAAAAACGTGTTTTCACTCGGTCCTAAAATAATAATCTTAACTTAATCTATGCATTTTAGAATTATATTTATATTAAAAATATTATATAAGAGTAGTATACTACATGAAAAAAAATTACAAGAAATGCCGTGTTAATAAACTAAACGGTTCTCTAACATTAGATACATAAATCTCATATAAAAAGTATAAAATATAAAAATAAATGTGATCATTCCGGGTAAACTTTTCACTTTATGTAACTACTATGGATATAGCTATTTGAACCCACTGTTTCAAATTATAGATTTGTTCGTTTTGGGGCAGATGAAAGTACTAATTAGTAAATTAAAAAAAGTAATCATGTGTATATAGCACGTATCCTGTTGTTATGCAAACAAATTAACAGAACATTATTAATTAGACGCGGAAAACCCCTGTAATAAAGCCCCAAAACAATCATATATGGGTGGTTTTATTATATTTACGAAAACTCGCCCCACCAAAAAAAATACTCTCTTTATCTTAAAAAAATATTGTCCAATATTTGAATTTTCATTTTTAATTTAATTATTATTGTCTCAAAAATATTGTTTATGTTTTAAAAAACAGTATCCCTTTAGTTGAAAATTAAAATTGCACAATCATAATAGAAAGAATGCTCATTATTTTTCCCTAAATAGGGAAACGGGGTACCATCTCACAAGAAATTCTATATATGCTGGGGGGAATAATCTCCAAAAGCTGCAAATCCTAATCCCAACGGGACTTGGCAATTTAATCCTGCTATAAATAATATAATAATATCCCATCGGGTTAATGTCTGCATATACCTGTCCTCTTTTCATTTCAGTTTTTATTATTCTTTCAAAGAACCCTAACGAAATAATTATTAAGAAAACCCTAGGAGTTTCTCTTTTATTTTTGCGACTCCGAAACAAGATGATATTATCACCGGCGGCCTCACGAAGTTCCGGATTTTCCAGACCCAATAATATTTCTCATACTTAAGGAGCTTCCGGTGAAATCCTTATTAAGGTTCAGATGTGTTTCAAAGAACTGGCTGTCCATAATATCCGACCCTCATATATTTTATAAACATGCACCATCTCCAATCATACTTCCGGCCAGCCAGAACCAAGTTCTTAGTTGGGCCGCCGACGAAAAAGGACGGTTTCTTACTTGTCGACGAAGAAGGAAATCGCACGCTTGTCGAGGCTCCAACACTTATATGACTTCTTTTCCGATTATCATGAGAGCAGAAGTTTTAGTGTTGAAGGGGTTGAAGGCTTAATATGTTGTCGGAATACGGTATGGAATCCTGCTACAAGAAAAAAGTTTGATCTTCCGATCCAATCTTTGAGGTTCAACAATATGGATTTGCCCCTTCGTTATGGAACAAATATATTTAGCTTCGAAAATTCATATTACCTAGGTTATGGTTCTGTTACTGAAAAATACATGTTATTGAACATTTGTTCTGGGGACGATGTCGAGATATACTTTCATCTCAACAAACAAGTTTTGGGGAGTCTCGAAACGAGATTTCAAATCCAAGTAAGTGAAGTTGGTGACGATAATGATAATTATTCGTGGAGAGACATGACTCACAAAATCCGGCCATATCGCCGGCCAAATGGAGTTGTGACATTGGAGGACAAATATCATCTAGAAGAGTTCTTACTACTTGATGATCAAGGAAATAAGATGCTTGTAGTTGATGACCAAGGGCTTGAGATTCTTGCAGTTGATGACCAAGGAAATAAGAGGTTTGTAGCTCATTTATATCAACCTGCTCGCTTCAATAATGCGGAAGGTGACGTGATTTGCTTTCTCAAGGATCCAACCATTGATGGAGAAGAGTTTGATCTCCCCACTCCAATTTTGAGCAACACAATGGATTTCCCAATTCTTTCGTGTGGTTTTATAAAAGTTGAGTTTGAGAATGCTTATTATACGAAAGAATACAAGGTATTAAGCGTTTGTGTCGCGAACTTAATACGGGATTACAAAACTACGAATCTTAGTGGAAAATTTCAAATGGAAGTTATGACTTTAGGAGGAGGCAATGATGATGGTAATTTATGGAGAGACATTACTCATCACGTGTCGGAAGAAGCCAAGACTGAAGTCATGGGAGCGTTTTGTCCGAATAATTCATCCTCGTTATTCATTATTTTGTCTTAAGAAAAAAATTCTATTAGAGGATAATCTTGAGATTTTGACTTCTAAACTTTTAGGTCCTTAATATATTTTTTTTAAATGGATGGCGTTTCTATTACATGTCTTGGTAATCATTAATCCTATTTTTTTAATTATAGACTCACATGATCAAAACTATTGACGATACTCATTTCTAAAATTTATTTATACAATAAGTAAATGAGACTATTCTATGAGAAATTCACCATCGTCTGACCTTGAATATGTAAATATCTTGGTCAGATAGCTAAGTGAAGCATTCAAGAATCGATTTCATATGAAT